TAGAGGTGAGCAGTATAGGGGGGAGCAGTGAGGGCAGCAATATAGAGGGGGACAGTATAGAGGGGAGCAGCATAGAGGGGAGCAGCACAGCAGGGGTGCAGTGCTGAGCCCAACCCCATCGCACGTCCCCCTGGGGGCTGAGGATGAGGCAGGTCCTTCCTGGGGGTGACAGCCCTGTCCCTGCTGTCCCCAGGCCTGCGCAATGCCCCGCGCTGCTGGGACGTGATCCAGCCCCTGCTCTGCGCCGTCTACATGCCCAAGTGTGAGGATGGGCAGGTGGAGCTGCCCAGCCAAACCCTCTGCCAGGCCACCCGGGCCCCCTGCACCATCGTGGAGCGCGAGCGGGGCTGGCCCGACTTCCTCAAGTGCACCACCGACCGCTTCCCCGAGGGATGCCCGGTACGGGGGGACATGGGGGGCTGATGAGCTGCTGGAGGCTCTGCAGAGGGATCTGGACAGGCTGGATCCATGGGATGAGGGACCTGGACAGGCTGGATCCATGGGATGAGTCTCTGCAGAGGGATCCGGACAGGCTGGATCCATGGGTTGAGTCTCTGCAGAGTGATCTGGACAGGCTGGATCCATGGGCTGAGTCTCTGCAGAGGGATCTGGACAGGCTGGATCTGTGGGCTGAGGCTCTGCAGATGGATCTGGACAGGCTGGATCCATGTAGTGAGACCAATTGCACGAGGTTCAACCAGCCCAGTGTTGGGTCCTGCACTTGGGTCACAGCAACTCCCCTAAAACTCCAGGCTTGGGGCAGAGCAGCTGGAAAGGGCCTGGGGGAAAAGGACCTGGGGAGGTTGGTCAACAGTGATGGAAAAATGTCTTTACTGAAAGAGTGGTCAAGCACTGGAACAGGCTGTCCAGGGCAGTGGTGGAGCTACCATCCCTGGAGATGTTAAAAAAACATTTAGATGTGGTACTTGGGGACATAGTTTAGTGGGCATGGGGGTGTTGGGTTGATGATCTTGGAGGTCTTTTCCAACCTTAATGATTCTATGATTCTACAACTGAGCAGAGGTTGGAGCCAGGGGGGGATGGGCTCTGCTCCCCAGGAACAAGGGACAGGACAAGAGGGAACGGCCTCAAGTTGTGCCAGGGGAGGTTGAGGTTGGATCTGGGGAACAATTCCTGCCTGGCAAGGGTTGTCAGGGCCTGGCCCAGGCTGCCCAGGGCAGGGGGGGAGTCCCCATCCCTGGGGGGGTTTCCAAGCCCTGGAGATGGTGCTGAGGGACATGGGGCAGTGGTGGCCTTGGCAGGGCTGGGGGAAGGGTTGGCCTTGGATGATCTTCAAGGTCCTTTCCAACCAAAACGTTTCTGTGATTCAATGCTCGTCACGTCCTTTGCTGTGGGGGTGCCTCCTCCTCCTCCTCACAACCCCCTTTTCCTCCTCTGGCAGAACGAGGTGCAGAACATTAAGTTCAACAGCTCGGGGCAGTGTGAGGCGCCGCTGGTGAGGACAGACAACCCCAAGAGCTGGTACGAGGACGTGGAGGGCTGTGGCATCCAGTGCCAGAACCCGCTCTTCACCGAGAAGGAACACCGCGAGATGCACGTCTACATCGCCGCCTTCAGCTCCGTCACCATCTTCTGCACCTTCTTCACCTTAGTGAGACGCTGCCTGGGGGGGGACACACATGGGGAGGTGTCCCCAGAAGGGAACCGGGCGCTGAGCTGTGTCCCTTTCTACCCCCCTCACACAGGCCACCTTTGTTGCTGACTGGAGGAACTCCAACCGCTACCCTGCTGTCATCCTCTTCTACGTCAACGCCTGCTTCTTCGTGGGCAGCATCGGTTGGTTGGCGCAGTTCATGGACGGCGCCCGCGACGAGATCGTCTGCCGGGCTGACGGCACCATGAGGCTGGGGGAGCCCACGTACGTGTCCCCTTCGTCCCCATCCCACCCTGGGTCGTGTGCCAAGAGGTGTCCCCTGGAGCAAGGAGGGATCCTGAGGTTTCCCAGCCTCTTGGGGAGCATGGAGAATGCTTGACTGTTGGGGTAGGAGAGAGGCTTTTCCCCTCGTGTGTCCCCTCTTGGTGACACCTCTGTCTTGCCTCCCCTCGTAGCTCCAATGAGACGCTCTCCTGCGTCATCATCTTTGTCATCGTCTACTACTCGCTGATGTCAGGTGTCATCTGGTTTGTCATGCTGACCTATGCCTGGCACACCTCCTTCAAGGCGCTGGGCACCACCTCCCAGCCACTGCTGGGCAAGACCTCCTACTTCCACCTCATCACCTGGTCCATCCCCTTTGTCCTCACTGTGGCCATCTTGGCTGTGGCGCAGGTAACGGGACCACCATCCCATGTCAGGGCCTGGCCCAGGCTGCCCAGGGCAGGGGGGGAGTCCCCATCCCTGGAGGGGTTTCCAAGCCCTGGAGATGGTGCTGAGGGATGTGGGGCAGTGGTGGCCTTGGCAGGACTGGGTGTAGGGTTGGACTGGGTGATCACAAAGGTCTTTTCCAACCAAAACAGTTTTGTGATTTGATGCCCACCCCTGGGGACATGCCACGGGGAGGGGTGGCCACAGCCAAGTGACATCCTCTGTCCCCATCTCTCCCAGGTGGATGGTGACTCTGTCAGTGGCATCTGCTTCGTGGGCTACAAGAACTACCGCTACCGGGCCGGCTTCGTCCTGGCGCCCATCGGGCTCGTCCTCATCGTGGGGGGCTACTTCCTCATCCGGGGTGGGTGCCAGCTCGCCCCGCTGTGGGGACAGGGGCACCCTGAGTGTCCCCACCCACCCCTG